GCCAGCTTCATTGAGGGGGATGTTTCAATGACTCCATAATCTGCATTCGCTGCCGCAAGGGCAAATCCTTCAAAATCTGGCCCTGAGTATCGAAATGTTCAGTCGCTGCTGCAGGTTCATATCCTTCAAGATCTGGCCCTCAGGATCCTTGATGTTCAGCCGAGATTCTAAGTTGCGGGGCAGCATGTTGTCTGGCAGCTTCCCATGCTTCATCGCAAACCTCATATTCAAATCCTTGGGCAACATGTTCGAGGGCAGCTTCCCATGCTGCGCCGCAAACCTCGTATTATGTATTCAAATCCTTGGACAACATGTTCGAGGGCAGTTTCCCATGCTTCGCCGCAAACCTCACATTCAAATTGTTAGAGAAGAAGCTAGGTGGCGTTTTGCCATTGTTGACCATCATCATCTCCAGCTCAATCATGCCTCCAAACACCCCAGATACAACCAGGGTAGATCTGGGTAGATCTGAGTAGATAAAGAGATAAACATCACCAATTTGATCCAATTGTCCCACCTTAAGGCTATCAATGTCCCCGTCTAACCATCAAACTCGATATTTCTACCATAAACCGAAAAGATCCAAACAGTAGCGCCTTTAGATATTGTAAATGTAAGGATATGTAAAGTAATCCCCTCGTTATTTCAGGCCGCCCATTGGAGCCATGTCCTTGGACATCCCGCCAGAAGCGAAGCGCTGGGAGATCGTATTCACACGTTTCGCTGCCACACGCGAGGCCAGGCCAGTGGCGCGGCCGGCGACTTGGGGGAGGAAGCCCGAAGATTCCACAGGCAACATGGCCATGGCAAGGAAACGCAGGAAACGGAAGGCCTGCATAGACACGACTTTACAAATCACAGTGGAAGCTACTTGCCGATCTTGAAGCAAAAAGCTGCGAAAAAGAACGGGAGCATCACAAGAATCGCTCATGGATGGTGGAGTGCTCATTGGGCTTCCTGTTGAGCCTCCCACCGCATCATGCACACGGCTTGGGCGTGAGAGCTTTCGCCCAGTTTTCATGTCTATTTTGAAGTCCTGTCATATGCACACACCAGCCGGCGCCCAAACAGTAACAACACTGTCCAGGACCAAAAGTATGGACATCTTAAAGCTTTCCATCACTTGGAATGAATCGTCACCAGAGTTCCTGCTGTGGAATCGGCGTCCAAGTCTCTGTAAAGACTTCTTAACAAGTTTTACACCTTCGTATCCTTTATTCATTGTTTGAGAGGTTTCTATGCAACGACGCTCTCTCTAGAAACGCGCCGGCTTCACATCAGCACTGTCTTTGCGGTTGGTCAGCCGCTGCAGCCTGATCCCAATCGGTATAAAGTTGTTCGGAAGTTGTTGCGTGCTGTGGTGTCATTAGTCATTCAGTCCAAATTCGCTGGAGATTCCACGCCTTGGCAGCGCTGGTGAATAGACGCACCTGCAAGGGATGCGGATGCTGGAGAACCCAACCAAGAAAAGTTGAAATGAGATCGACTCACACTGGTTGGGTATACGCAAGAAAAGCCTTTTTGGTATTTTTGTTACACGCTGGTAGATTGTTGGCTGCGTAAATCTTGAATCTTTTGCCATGCGAGCAGCTGGGTAAAAGCCACACTGAGCTGTCAAGCACAACACTGGCTGAGTGAATGGCTTCCGGAAGGCATTCCTGGATCACCGCGTTGGATTATGTTCAAACGACATCAACAGAGAAGGATGCCTGCAGGAAAAGAGATTCCAACGACTTCAGTCTGATGATGATGATGATGATGATGATGACGATGACGATGACGACTACGACAACATGCAATCTCACATTTACTTCTTTCTTCACAAACACCTCTAGTCCCCAAGTCCCCAAGTTTCAGTTTATAGCCATCATTGACCACCATGACCCATAGCAGCCATAGCTTCATCCTTTCACGCCAAGCTTCTCCAGAGTTCCACCCAACTTGCCATGCCAATGAAGCAGCTCGACTGCCACAACCTGCTGCAGCCGAAGTTCGTGGGTATTGACATCAGCGGAATGTGCTGAATTAGAACTCAATAGCCACATCCCACAATCGACTTCAGTGTATGGGTTTTCAAACTGTGAGGTCGGAAAAACAGGTTGTTAGCTTCTGCTATCCAGCCCTTCCTTTGTTCGGATACAGAGATGATGCATATGCCCGGCGCACCGCATGAACAATTGCGTCTGCTTGCTTCTCCACATCCGTCATCTTTCGCTCACCTTAACTCCACATCTTTTGGGCACGTGCACAGCTCTGCAGCACAGTGTGACATGGAATTTGAAAGACTTTTGGATCAAATCTTGAATGCAAATTAAAGTTCAAACTGCTGAAAGGTTTCAGACATCAACCATGGTGACAATTCATGAAGTCTCACCACGGCTTTCTGCAACAACTGACCTTCCAACAAACCTTCCGTGCTTGGTCCACTGGAAAGAAGCACAGAACTTGGAATTGTGCATTCAAGCACAGAACAAGAATACATGGTTGTGTCAAGTTGTATCATATGATCCGTATAATATATGTATGTGATTGTATGTGCATACTGTATGCCATTTATCACATAAATTTGACATAAAGATGATGTGGCCTCTTGGATTCTTCCACCATCGCTTCCTATCGCAGCATTTTGCAGCCCGCTAATCACAAGCAGGTCGGGAACTTGGGAGTCGCCGCGTCGGGAGGTTGCCACCACAACAGCAGATCCCACTGGGAGTAGAGTAGAAACTTGAAATGGCTCGGGCAATCATTGGGCAGCAGAAAATGTCAGGCAAACCAGACAGCAATCTAGTCATTATACGCACATATGTAGATGTTGGAAAATCATGGAAAATCCACATGCAAATGCAACTACGGAAGACATTTATGTGTGAACTGCAAACACTATATTAATGCACATAACGGGTCGATTATTCTCTTTATGATGTCTCTTGCGAATACAGTCTATCAAAATATCGGCCATCGAGTTTACCTCCACCTGTTGTACAGTGATTCTACTATCAACCAACCATATGTCCCATGATACACCATGCATATCGGCATATCGTTTTGGCTGGCATTGCACGTGATTGATGGACTTCCGTGTTTGTGCTTGCTGCTGATTGCCGCCATTTCGAAACGGTGTTCGAATGTTCGAAGGGTTTCAATCCTTCGGGATGATCGTTTGTCTCATCCCTAGAGCTAGAAGCATCACGGATGGCTAGATGATGTGGCTAGATGCTGTGGCTAGATGCTGTGGCTACGCTCCCATGTGCTAACAAAGGTGCGAGAACCAGGTAAGTGGTGTCTGCTAGTTCACTTGTTGTAAAGGTCCTGATGACCGCTCAGCTGATTCAAGTATGCCATCGTTTCACTTTGCTTCCAAGCAAACGAAGTCCGGTCCAAACAACCTAATCATCTGAAGTGTCAAGCAGTGCGTCGAGCTCATCGACCGTCCGAATTTGCCAAAGGATCCTTAAGTGGCTGACAGGCAGGGTTGCTGCGTTTGGTTCGAGACTCAAACAAAAATTGCTGGAACTACTACCTGGAGGGCTCCCCAGTCACTCTATAAAGATGCTGATGGATACAGTATACCGTTTAGAACGGGTGACAGGGGCCAGTACCGAAGCAGATACAACACATGTTTTTTTTCTCATGTAGCTGGATGCTCATCCCTTTAGTCATGTTCCTTGGGTTCTTTTGTTCTGACCCATAGCCATACACCACTTGAACGGGCTCTTAAACCCAGATAGAATTTCTAGGGCCCATCAGAAAAAAGGAACCAAATGTCAAAGGAAGCTTGGGGCTTTGTCATGTAGGCAATGTAGGCTAATGGGCAACTCTCACCCCCTTTCTGTCAGCGATTGCACGTGATTGATGGAATTCCGTGTTTATGTTTGCTGCTGATTGCCGCCATTTCGAAACGGTGTTCGAATGTTCGAAGGGTTTCAATCCTTCGGGATGATCGTTTGTCTCATCCCTAAAGCTAGAAGCATCACGGATGGCTAGATGATGTGGCTAGATGCTGTGGCTATGTTCCCTTGTGTTGCCAACGGTGCGACAACTAGGCAAGTGGTGCCTGCTATTTCAGTTGTCCTACACGACTATTGAAATAAACTGGTCCCAAGTATGCCACCATTCCACTTTACTTCCAAGCAAACCAAGTCCCGTCCAAACAACCTAATTACTTGGAAGTGTCAAACAGTGCGTCGAGCTCGTCGACTGTCCAAATTGGCTGGATCCTCAAGTGGCTCAAGAGTCAAACAAAAGCTGCTGAAAGTACCTAGCAGCCTCACCAATTCTATCAAGATGCTAATGGTTCACTCCGTTCAACCAGCAGATGCTTCAACCATACTTGAGGCCGAGGGGAGGTACGAAAGCTAGCAGGAGAGACTGCTCAGCTGAAAGAGAAAACTGAAATAGGAGTGTCTAACTGCCAAAGGGCAGGACCGGATTGGGATCCAAAGGACTGATGCTGATGATGATGATGACGACGACGACGGCGACAGTGACAGCGACAATGATGATGACAATGATGATGACAATGATGATGACAATGCTCACAATGCTCCTAATGAAGATGAAAATGAAGAAGAAGAAGAAGAAGAAGCTAAACACGCAGATGACAATGAAGATGACAAACCCGTACCTGCCCTCAAATCACGGGCCAAGGGGGATTGAACCCTGGCCTGCCAGGGGGGAAGGGGAGGGGAGGTATAATATTGAAAGTTTCAAGGAATTCGAAGGTCCTGCTGCCTGCCTATTCCTTGCGAAAGCAACAGCAACTGCAGCTAGCACAAGCTAGCAAGGCTTTCGTGACAAAATGTCAGCTTTCACCAAAAAGAGTCCCTCCAGCCCAGCCACTATCTGCCGCTCCAGGAGAAGGTCATCTAAGCCTGGTGGCGGCCAGATCCTGGTGCCAGGGCAAATCATTTGGCACGAAAACTAAAGAAAACTCGCTTTTTTCCCAGCAAATAAAAGGGTGCCCTGCGGCCCTGCAGATGTTCGACCCAATTCTGGAAACAAAGGGCAAATTTGATCAACACTGATGAGGTCCCCTACTTTCTCGGGATCATGAACACCAAGCAGCAGAGACAGTTCACCATTCAAAACAGGAGACTTCACCAACAGAAGCCAAGGATTCCACCGGAAAATCGACCAAAGATCATGGCAACAATGAGAAATCTGGATGTACAAACCCAACTATAGCTGGGAAATTCAATCAACGGAGATATTCATGTTCACAGAAATACCATTAGCGGATTCACCAGATGCGAGAAGGAATCGGGATAAGTCCATCACCAATCACAACACATCTCCGAATCGCTCCCCAAGGCCACTATGGCCACTGGGTGTACTACAAGAATATCAAAGAAGCTGTTGCAGGAGCTTCCAAAGCCGCTCAACGGCCAATGAAAGGATCGAGTGATGTAATTGTTCGATTTGTAGGGGTGAGCTTCGATGTGAACTTTGGTTGACAGTCTGCTTGACACCATGGACAATGAAGAAATCAAAGCATCGATTTGAATCGATGTACAAACCCATCGAAAGACCCTGCTGACAGCGACAGTTTTTCAACATTCATCAACATTCCCAGAAGTGTGTATCCCATCACTGGGACTTTGTATCTGTCCAGTCCTCTGAAATTGCCGCTGTATATGTAGGTTCTGGAAAACCCGGATCACCTGGGGCATCCATGGATGACTTGACCGTGGATGGTCCTGGATGGTCCATGAATTACAGATATCCTGGGTTTCAGATGTTTCAGAGGCAAGAGAAGCCCACGGCTTCACTGAAGGCAGTACTGATAGATTGATGTACTGGCCGGGTAGGCAAGTAACTCGGGAATTAAGATGGATTGCCGGATGTTTCTGGGGGTCGGCTAGGCGAGCATATGAAGAGCGGAAACAGGGTAGTAGATACAAGTCTTTTGGCTGGATTGAATGTGTGCAAGAAAATATAAAAAGAAGGAGTCATGGTCGGACTGTACCGAATCCTCTATGCACCAAAGGACAACTCCAAGAGCATGATGTTTTGAACCCTCGGCGGGAATCAGTTTCAGTGTCTTCCAATATGTTTGTGTTTTGAAGAGATATTCGAAATCAAAAGTTTCTTGGTGGAGCCTGAAACCCTGAACACTAAAAGCCCCAAATTCAAACCCCAGTGGAACCAGGTTTTGGAAATTGTAGCCCCAAGCAACTCCAAAGAGAAAAACGTAGCCACTTCTGGGTTGTTTAAACTCACGCGCCTGGGCCTAGACATGTCCACGTTTTGGAGGATTGTAACCCCACCCACCAGGCAGCACTTCCGCATCCCGCCTGCGGATCGGTTGTCAAAGGGTTGACATAATCAATCGCAGTACGGCCTGGCCAGCTTTGGATTGCAGGCTTGCAGGTCCAAAAAGGATCTATAGTGCATATAACTTCGTATAACTTTTAAAATGACGAGGTCAGCATTCAGTGACACTTGGTGACCATCAGCCAGCACTTTCCATCTGTCCCGGGCTCAAACTCAATGAATTGTCCAAATGTCAAAAGTGAGCAAATGCCTCTGTTGGCAGTGTTTGATCTCGCTTTTGACAAGTGGAGCCCGGTGGAAACAAACCGTTTGGAAAAGAATGCAAAAACGGAGGAAATTCTTGGGGGCATTAAATTGAGATTGTTCTGTCACATTCAAATAATTTGGTGGATTTTAGAAGACTATTTCATCTCCATCGCAAGTTTCCGAGGCACATAACTGGCCAATGACTCATCATGTTCTGTACCTGAGGAGTCTTTCAAGAACGGATCGGCTCCCAAGTAGAGGAGCCAAAAGACCACGTACGCGTTCTCCTGCTGTGACGATGCTGAGACCATCTGAAGCGGCTACTGTTCCCCTCCAAAATTGCTGGGGGTCTCGAATTCTTGGACAGTAGCTATGCTAATCCACAGTTGCGTGGGCGTGGGTTGGATGGTTCCAAGATCGAACAGCAACATCACTTTCCTCAGCTGTCCTGTTTAGTGGCCTCATGGAGAGGATAGGTACCTCGTCCACCAGGTGTTTGGGAGACATCCAAAGCTGCCAGTAGAGCACCACATAGTCAGCAACATTCTGCAACCAAGTCTCGGATAAGGCCAAATGATTTTGATTTCTTGCAATTTACATCAATCTCTTTGAAGCCATTGCTCTCGAGAAATGTAACCACATGCAGCCTGGCCGGCAGCTCTGCGTGGAAAGGAATTGTAGGTCACATACAACCGCTAAAGCAAATGTTCTTTTCGAGTGTTTCCGTGCTGAAGGTTTTGCTTCACCGCAGCTGGTGCCGGCACCTCGCTTGCAAGTAATTCTTTTGATGCCTCAGTCTACAGTGTCTACAGAGACTGAATAAGCACGTGGTGTTGGCCACTCTCAAGAGATTCCTTCCTCATCTGTCTAACAGCTTTTTGGAATGGGGTACTGTATGGTACTGTATGACCTCCTTCTAAGTGGGATACACTTCGAAGATTTACTCCACACCAGACATTCACAGGACTCATCCCTGCCATTCCATCGATGTGGGTACCAAATGGCCCCTTGGTGCAGTTGGTGCATCCCAGGTACTTTCTCACCACGCGATCGGCGAGGCCCAACCGCCCATTGCTGCGTACGGAACGAGCATCGGAGCCCACTGTGGAGTCAGGTGAGCTTTCCGGGGCGATCTCTGTACGGCTGGTGAAGGATTGCACACCAGTTTCTTCCTCCTGAGCCGGACCCCTGGACTCCCAACTTCCATCAACTTCCCACATCCCATTGCTTTAGATGCCAAATGCTTTGTAAACACCCAGGGGGTACTGCATTTGCATTTTGCATTCAAATGCATTCAATGTCTGGATTCCATATTCACTTGGTGTTCATGCTTTTTATTGGTGTTTCCCTTCAATCGTTTTGCATCTTTTTTCTCTTGGCTTCCACGATCTTCCACGTCTCCCGGTGCACCTGAAAGGAGACTCTCCTCTTGAGCTTCGAATCCAAAAAAGGCGGTTCGATCTCCTCTTGAGGTTCCAGGAGGCCCTCCTCAGTTGCATCGACAATGTTTTGTGGAAACAAATGCCTTTTGATGCAGGAGCAAACTCATGTTTTTTCGTTTTTTCACGCAACCTAAAAAAAAAGCAGGTCCTAAAGTTGTCCTAAAAAATTCCTCAAATGTTAGCCTGAACGTAACTGACCAGGACGACAGGAGTCCGAGTTGACACGTGCATCAGAGGCAAAAGAGCAACGAAACTTGTCCCAAAACCCTCCACAGCTTCCAGTCAAGGTGCGGCCTCGTGAGGTGGGTGGGGTGAAAGGCAAGGTCCCAAAAACAGGCTCAACATGGAACGGAAACAAGTTGGGACGCCAAGTAATCTGTCTGAGCCTGAATGTCTGCTGGGCTCAAGTTGTCATCTGCTTCTGTTCTCGTACCAAGTGTCAAGTATATAAACAAAATCACATGGCCCTGCTGTTGCTTTAACTGAATTAAATCAAGGTCTCTGGCACGTTCCAAAAGAATCCAAAACTCCGAACCCAGCTGGTGTCCCTTCCAAAATAAGCCATTTCAGGGAGATGCTGTCAGTCCCTGATTTTTGGATGTTTTTGGGACATGCCCAGTGTTTCTGCGATTGGATTACACCAAAAAGGGCCCCAACGCGGAGGACGGGGCGGTGGTGGCGGTGGAGAGTCATCATTCCAGGCCTCGCAAAGAGGTTGCTCAGTGGCTGGTTCCAGCTCATGGATTGCTGATAGCTGATGGTCTGCGATAACCATAATCCCCCGTGAAAAATCTGGCAGTATGACCCAGCCTTGTCAAGACTGGGGTCAACTGGGCATTGCTCGATTACATCTCCCAACAGAAAGTTGGTAGCAACTCTATGAAGAGGATGACATGAGGTCAAAACCCTTTGTTCATTCATTTGCAATACATTCAAGGATGGAAACAAGATACTCGCAGTGAAAGTATCCTGGAACATGGCCTTGTCCGGAGAAATGGTTTCTCCAGAACCCAAAGAAAATTATGGTTAAGCATCATTCTCTCCATAAAATTTGGAATGTCCATCTTGGTATCCACCAGGTCGCACCTGCCGCGGTGTATGGAGCAGCCTTAGCCTGGCGGTTGGCCCCTAATCCCCAACAGCTGGATGGTTTAGAATGGAAAATCCATGAAAACCCTACTAATAATATATGCATGTATGTATATATATATATATACGAAATTATAGTGTATATATATATATACATACATATATATATATACATACATACATACATATATATATATATATATAAACATACATATATATATACATATAATTATATATATAACATAATATATATATAACATAATATATAAGATCTCCGGTTGCACTGACTTTTTTCCATGCCAGCTATGCACTGCGTGAGTTGTTATGCACAGACTTCAGCCAAGACGGTTCTCACAAGCGTCGCTGAAGTTGACCCAGCTTTGGATGGACTGCTCAAGGGATGGGACATAGTGCAGGGTGGGTTGTCTTGAGCGGCAAGGAACATGCATTTCACCATCGAACTTAGAAGTGCAAGATCTCCGGTTGCACTGACTTTTTTCCATGCCAGCTATGCACTGCGTGAGTTGTTATGCACAGACTTCAGCCAAGACGGTTCTCACAAGCGTCGCTGAAGTTGACCCATTTCTCCCTTCAGTTCCTTGTAACTTGTCCAGGCCAAAGCAAAAACCATAGATTATTCGGAAATCATGCCATCCAGAATTCTTCAAATTTTACCAGAGCAGTAAAGAAGAAATCGCACAGGGTATAGACTTTGTACCGTGCTGATTCAGGGATAGCAGAGAAGAAAAGAAACGATGACAACTCCTGGAAGTAAATCTCCATTACCCAAAGGCCTCTTCTCCGCAAAAACTCAGAGTATCATGGTTAAGCCACACGGAACCCAATTCATGCTCGCTCATAACTTGTTTGAAACGTAGCTGCAGGGTTTGACCGAACTTCTGCCATAGTTCGAAATGCCAAAAAGACTACCCTTAAAAGACCAGGGATGTCCAACTTTGCGCATTGATGTCTGGCCACAGCGAACCTGGTTTTTGGTTCCTCAGAGCCAAAAGAGCAAAACTGTTTATGAAGCAGATATCACAAGGCAATAGAAGGTCCTTCTCGTCGCCTGCAAAAAATTCTCCAATCCACGGTAATGCTCCCCAGCATAGGGTAAACATACCAGCCATAACGGTCCACCCCCAAGCCAAACATAGGCATATAGCAGAAAGTAAAACCTGCCAAGGCATTGCCAAATAGTAGGCCATGGGCTCGTCCCTGATCCAGCAAAGGCACGGTTCCAGGTCTCTAGCAGTTGACTTTTCATAGCAGGCTATTTCGAGGCTCTGGAATTAATAGCTTCAGCGTAATGATCGTAGGGTCTTCCAGCAGAGTAAAGTACACTCCCGTATCAGACCAGCTGCTTGTTCAGCTCGTCAATGGATACATGGTGATGCTCCAGCAAATTTTCCAGCGATATACCTTGTCGTTGAGAGTCACCAGCATTCCGGGGTGCAACGACGCCATGGCTCGATCCTACACTACAAGCTAAAACTACAAAAATCCACCTAAGTAGCTGACCCTGCTAACAAGGCAAAGAGGACCTTCACCGGGAAAACCCAAGGTGGCGACGAAATCCAAACAGAAAGCGAAGCACAGAGAGAGGAGGCAAGACAGAGGCCACGTGGAAAGGCCAGTGAGATGGAGGGCAAACGGACCCAACATAAGAGGGAAAATCAGGATCCAATACGAGGCCCAACACCGTAAAGAAAGAGACGCAGCTAGACGATAGAGGTCCCTGCGGCCCCAGGCGGCTAAGTCCAAGCCAGGAGTTGGGTCCCTCAAAACCACATCCCTTGTAGGATCACCGGAAGGGTATAGCCAAGTAAGGGCAAAACCTAAAAACGAGATACCGTCCACCAATGATACAAAAGGCTGCTAGCCTAAATAGAGCCGGAGATAGGGCCTTCGATGAAGATCCTCCCTTCGAGGCTGCACATCTCACAACATTCGAGTCAATGAGGATTACTAAACGGAGAGATACCCCACGTCTCACGAACTTATGTATAAGCCTAGCACAGCTCCAATTTCAAGAATGTTCATATGAGAGCTAACTCGGTAAGTCCAGACAGGCATCGGCTCCCACTTCAGAGAAGAGCATAGATCACAGCATCTGGCTTTCCAAACCATCCACTGAGCCAAGTGCAAGGCTTTATTCAAAAGCTGACAGACGCAAGATCCCATAGGCCATCACCTTAGCTAGTGCACTGCAGGAACATGGACATAGGTTGCTGAGGCTTTGTAAATTTACCTTAGACCAGACCATGTTCATTAAATCCAGCGCATCATAAGGGAGTGTGCTGCACTTCGGTCCAAGCACACCAAAATGATTTCAACGATTTGAGGTGAACTGACCCGTAAGCACAGGAGTCGCAACTTACCAAGACAACTTGTTCACAACTTTGCAGCGATTTCCATGCAGGGAGAAACATGATTTTTGAAGACCATGGGTTCTCAAACAACAGTCACTCCATGCTTCACGCAAAAATGCAAGAGTTGAAGCGCTCTGTGGGCCAGCTTAGTGCCTGTCCTCGTATGTACCTCTTTGGTTAAAAATGAAGCACCAGAAGTAACCTCAATGAGATCAGAGCGATAGCCAGGGGCCTCTAAAAGCTGTCAGAAACATAGGCTCGTTCTCTTCAACATCCAAGGCACATGCCAAAACTGATTGGAAAGGTGACAGCAACTTAGAGTAGCCACCCTTGGATCTGCAGCAGCGCCACAAGCAGGTGGCCAAGTTCTTGTCGATACGGCTCTTGACAGTTGCCCCTTTATTCCGTGATGCATCCGTCGCAAACAGCTCTGTGCAGAAGTAAACCGCAACATCGGCAACGCATAAAGGCGCCAAGCCGCCTAATAGGCTCAGCTCTGTTGCAACATTTCGTGGATAGCTCACTAACTTTGGACTCGAGGCATTAAAAAGGCCATAACACAAGATGGAAGGAAGACTGCAGGACTGACAAGAAAGGTCGCCTAACATCAGCGCAGACGTCCAAACACCAATAACAAAGTTGTAAAGCGTCTGTCGTATGAATCCACTGGCTTACCTGAAAGGAAATCCAGGAAATAGCATATCTCTTTTCCACGGAGCTGCAACCGACACATGTCCTATTTTCTGACATTTTCTGAGGCATTGACGCTGGCACCTATGATCTTGGCTTTTCTGGATCCAACAATGTCTTGTCATCTAAGCCAAATATCTCATACTTTGCGTACACTCCCCTTTTTTTAGAAATGCTAAGGCATGGAAGGAGAGGGTCTGCAACCAACATACTTCGAGGAACTTTGCACCACAAAATAGGCATCAAGCGCTAGTCCTTCGCAAACTCGACACCATGGAGATGACGGGAAGACAAAACTCTGGAGGTTTCATCCAAAACCTACTGTCTGCAAAAGCTGCTCATGTGCTCTGGTTGCAATTTCAATACCAGCATGGTCTCCCTGATTTAGACTACCAAGCTCACCAAACAGAACATTTGGGGCAAGCGGAGAATGACTGTCTGCAGGAGAGACCAGGGCGGTCCCCACCAACAAACGGCTCTCTTTAGCAGCTAGCTTGGCACATTCAAAAGAGGTCATAGCTTAGGTGTTTCTCATGAAGCCAAAAGGAATCCTAGGTCCAACCGTGTTCATCAAATCCTATTCGCAGTGCACCAAAACTGATGGTAGAGGTCGTGTCAATCTGTACAGGATATGTAGAGTGTCTCTTCACGCGCATTTCCGAACAGGCCAAGAAGATCTGGGCCTGAAGGCAGGCTTTTGGAAGGTCCGGACACCCTACCCTCTACTGAACTACGGCCTCTTCTATCGCCAATCTGTCTGTCGCACTCTAGGTTCTTAAATTAGTTGAAAACCTGGACAAGCTCAAAGCGCTTTTCCCTCTGAAAGTCAGTTTCATGTATATGTAGTAACCTTCATGCATCCCATAGCTTCGCCAGCGAAACGACTTCATCTCGCGGATTCATTCTCAAGGATATTCGGAGGCACCAGGAGTTCGGTCAAGCTGTAAGGAGTCAGTACACCTACAAGTCATGCAAAGTTCAGTGCAAAGGAAACTAATAGCGCCAAAAAGGCCACGACCACCCACCTTCAAACGGCTAGCATCAAGCGTACTGTAAGGCTTGGTGTCATCAAACAAGCTGTTGTCAAGTGGCGCATCATGACCTGGGTAAGTCTTCCTATAGGGAACTGCTCCAGCATCTAATTTGTCAAAGTTCCAGACAGCTCGAAAAGTCGGGCTATCAGTTGGTGAAAACGTCGACCACTGCGCAAAACCTAAAAGGCTCAGTCGGGCCGTCAGCCAGCATGAGGCCAGTAAGCCTGCGAAGATTTCGCAAATGGCTTGCTGATGTTGCCCTCTCCAGATGCTCTAAAGGGAAAGAGCAGCTTTCACTCCACCAATAGTCAGGGACCATCACCACAACGTGCAAAGCCCGTCAGAGATAGCAACGATCCCTTTTGGAAGATGAAAGACCTGGAGGCATCCTTGCGAACACTCCACAAAGGGGACAGGCAAGGGGAAGCCGGCGATGACGAAGTCACAGTGCTTCGTTGCAGATGCAAGTGGCATGATGGACGCTGGAAGAAAGGAACGAGTCCTTGATACTGAAAAAGCCAAAAATGAACACCAATTTTTAAAGGACAGGGTGTCCACAGGGCTTCTATGAATTCCTGTACGCTTCAGGGCGTGCACTTCAAAAGAGGTCATCCTCGGATAGGCATTGGCAAGGGCATGACCTACATTTCATGCAAACAGAGTCAAAAGTTTGGTGGTTAACTCTATTTATTAATTAGTTGAACTATTTGTTCAGAGGCAACTTTGCACCCTATGAACTTCTGCGTAGGCTTCTCGTATTTTAGGCCTCTGGAGCGGCCTTTGCTTTTGGCTTGCGAGGAAACCTCGGCTTCCTTTTTGGGGATGCTTCACGATCTGGTTCGACAGCTGCTGCGCTTGGGCTGCCTTCGGTTTGAGAGGGCGCCTTTGCAATGCGTTTTGCTGTCTCTCCCTTCTTCGTGGAAAGGACTTCCAGATCTTTCAAATAAGCCAGGCAAACTGCTGTCCACGGCGGTGGGACTAGAGGGCCAAAAGGCCTTGCATGGTGAGCTATGCTGGCAGCCCGATCTTGGAAAACTTGGATCGGCGGTTCTTCCATCAGGGTAAGCATGAAGGCCAGTGTCCAGTCTCCTCTGTCGGTTACAGCCTGCTCGACTGAAACCATCAGCAAAGCGAGCAGTTCCTTCGTCATATGAAAGTCTCCTGCTGATGCAGCATCTATTGCATGACCTAATACCCAGGCAACTAGGCCTAGTTCCCGATTGTTCCTGTAACCTCCTTGTCTTTCAAGGTATTGCAACACTGACAAGGATTTCAGGTTTTCTTCTGTCTGGGGGACAGGCTTGGAGGGATGAAGTCTGCGGTGCAACTGCTGCATCATCTGCAAGAAATACTGGCTATTTCCACATGCTAGATCGTTCTGCATTTTCTCCCTGCGTTGAACGCCTTTGGTTGAACTCCCAACCTGCCCTGGTGTGGCTAGATCTCCTAAGACATCTCCTGACTGTGCCGTCAGGTGAGCCACCAAGGCCGTCAGCGCTGTGCTCTGATTGGTCAGCGCAACAAGCATTCCATCTGCACCTTCTTGGGGCTGCAATGCATCATATGGCTCGTCTCCTTCGACAGCTGCTGCACCTTGGATCCCGACCACATTTCGCGTCTTGGGAGGAGGTCCTATTAGGCTCAGTGCTTTTGCTCCAATAGTCTGCGATACGCCACTGGGATTTGGCAAGCCCGCTGACACAGTCGGCAATTTGGAAACCGGCCCAACATACTGTCCTGGCATATCTGCGGCGGAAGAGCTTGCCATTTGTTCCATGCGATCCTGACGTTGAGTGATCAGCTGGAGTTGGGCAACCACTGCCGTCAATTGATCGGCTATCATTGCATTCGATATTTTCTTGGCCGTGGCTTTCTTGGGGGCTGTAACAGCTTTTGGAGGGCTTGTTTCCTGATCTTCTTGGGCGGAGTAAAAGCCCGTCCTGTCATCAGATCTCAAGAGGAGCCACTCACTGACATGGGCCAAGAGCACCGATACATCAGGCAAACTTGAGGGATGTTCATTTGAAAAACCAAGGATCGTTGCAAGGGAGTCTGTGACTGGATCATACTCTCTACATTTCGACAAAATGTCATCATGTACATCAACTACAAGCACCTGAGCCTCAATTCCGAGAGGCACGGCAACTGGCGTCGGAACATCATCAGCTTCTTCTAGAAGCCCTGCAGAAAAATTGAATTCGGACCAAACGGATGCTCATCAGATCCTGTCTGACCATCTGAAAGGGTCTGTGTGGAAAGGCTGTCATGTGGGAGGGCTAAAAGTAAACCTCCCTGTCTGAATTCCAGAGGCAGTGCATACACGTCTACTTCATCCCCTACTGAAGAGGCAACAGCAGGTACAGTAAGCACAAGCAAGGTAGGTTCACCTTTACTTGCAGGCCTAACATTCTCCTTCCTCAGCATTTTGTACGGCGGAAGAGAGGGGGAACTGCGATATGTGCTCCTTGGCAAAAGACTTCCAGTTCTGTCTCAGTTTCAAAGCCGTGAAATACACACCCTCCAGCAAAGATTTGCTGACGGAAATGATTGAAATCAGCCTCGGAATCAAATCGAACAACACCGCCGAGCCCGCAAGCACGGAGAACAATGAAGTGAGAACTTTTCTCTGAAATCACCGCAGGGGCAATCTGGTCTGTGAAAGTCTCCAATGCAAGTCTGGCCCAAAAACCTGCTGAAAATGCAAGGTGGACACGATTCAAGGCTTCAGTCTGATCCCAGGCAACAAAAACCGCCTGCTCTTCCACAATTGCCGGAACAGGTCCAGGACCCTGATCAAGAGTTCGGAATTCTGAGCCAACAAATTCTGGTCCTGCTTCCTTTTCCAAAGTCCACAGACGGGCGATCTGAGGAATGCCCGGGAAGGAAGTTTTAGAAATGGAAGTACCCGCAGCTACAGCACGGGCCTTTGGATCACCTCTACGATAACCTTTTCCAGCCCCTTGAGACGAGCTGGAAGATTCCTCCTTCTTCTGCCAATCTTCCAATCTTTCAAGCCTCTCAATGAGATCACGAAGCTCACTGGAGGTAAAAGGAAAGCTCATTCAAGATAACGTGCCAACCTGGTTCTTGGAGCAGCAGGAGCTGGGAACAAGAAATGGCCAAGGGGAACGCGGAAAATCCAAAGGGCAAGCAAAAGTCCAGAAACAATCAAACCAATGGAAATTCCGATGCAAAGTCCAAAGACCAGCCAGGCAATGCAGGAGGGATGACAGTGAAAAGGGCAAGAAGCAAATCGGGAGAACTCGTTAGCGAAGGCCAGCCACTTCCAAATCCTATCAGCTAATTCTACATGCATTTGTCTTGAGCGGCAAGGAACATGCATTTCACCATCGAACTTAGAAGTGCATATATATATACATATTATATAATATTTATATGTATATATATATATATTATTATAGATGCAATGGGACCCACGAGATTCTGACTGGCTTTTCGGCCCAGCAAAGCCAATCAGTAGCTTTGCCCTAAAAAATTAGACCATGTTGGCTCAAAAAAATGATGATTTTGGAAACCCCCACAGTTCCCCATCGACAGACCCACATGAGTCACATGAGTCACAAAAAGAGCGCCTGACGCCAGGCGATACGCTCGTCCGCAGCAGGAAAGCGAAGGGCTGGGCATTTGTCAGTTCGGAGGTGGCAGTGCATCAAGTCTCAAGCAGCAATAAGGTACCCATCTCCATTCTAAATTCATCTGATGTGGATTCTTCGAGATTGTAGACTGTTGTGATTGAACAGTTTTTGCTCGTGTATCAAGCATGTTTCTTTGATGAAACTATTAACCAGAAACTGGACATCTTGAATCATCTTGAACCTTAAAATGTCCAAAGGAGTTGGGCTTGCGCTAGTCTGCCTTTGCAAGTTCTGTTTCGTGTTTTACCTTCGTTACCTTGACCTCAGGTGCTACTTCTTGCGCACGTTCATCTCACTGAGGCATCCAACTCTATATTGTCTGGACGTCGCCACCTCCAAAGCCGACAAAGCCTTGGCGCCAGCACTGCAGCACCATTGCTTTCTCTGAAAATAGGCTACCCAATTCCATCCTATGGCTATGAAAATTGTGTATATTCCCGATACTTGGGGGATTACCAAAATGTGGAACTCAAATGGATTGGTTGATGAGAAATTTCAGGAAACGATGCCCCAAACACCAATTTTTGATGATTTTTTGGGGTCCCCGGAGTCCCCAGTTTGTGCAAATCCACATTGAGATCATTGAGGTCAAGACCCATGGAATCAATCCGGCAGTTGCCAGCAAAGAGCCTGCTCCATCTGCTTGGATCAGTTGTTGAACTGAATTCACTGAGGCACTCTACGCAGTCTACGCATCTGAGCCCGCAACTTGCAAAAAGTAGCCGGTGACCCGCAGCCTGCCGCCTTATTCAAAGGTCAATTCAGCAGATTCCGTAGGAATCCGTAGGAGTGGTTCATTCCAGGATAGGTTCTATATGAATCTATATGATTACATAAGAATCACCGAAAGTGTCAATCCATTTGGAACAGGTTAGAAAGGAAATCCATTCCTGGCCTCATGGTGTTCGCATGCCCGCAGGACGCACCGGGTCCCTTTGATCCAAAGTTGGCCAGCAGTGAGGGTCGACCATTTGGTGAGATTTCATAGGAAGATATCGGAAGTGTTGTATCTTGAAGATGACCAGTGGTTTTTTTCATGCTTGACTCACTTGTGACACCATTCCAATTAAACAGGAAGAACTTGGACCACCTGTCTCATGTGGGCCTCCGTGGCTGTCGCTTCCTCATGCACAGCTGTTTCGGCTCACGCTGCCGTCAATTCGATGAAGTTCAACTGCACTCCCAAGTGCACCGACATGTTCAAGGCCATCTGAAGTTAACATTCAAACAATTCAAGCAACAACTCCCTAGCTTCCAATTAGTCAAGTCAATCTTACTACTTAGCTTCCAATTCGTCATAATTCGTCAAGTAATAAGGCTAGCTTCAAACAATTGTCATGCAGGTCCATCATTTTTTGACGCCCCGAAAGTTTGCAGCGGGCATGGTCTGAACTCATCGTCTTCTCCAAAGATGTAGCGACAAGCAGACTTGGCAGCGAGTCGACCAAAGACCAAACAGTCTAAAAGCAGATTCCCTGACAAGGCTTGCTTTCCATGAATGCCACCGGTGGATTCACCCGCTGCATAGAGCCCTAGAATACCTTTGCCATGCTCGTCCACGACCTCAGCATGTGAATTGATCTGAATCCCACCAGCACAGTACAGGATCACCGGCGTCACAATGGCCACATGGAAGGGCTCCTCTGCCACCCGAGATCCCACCAGCACGTTGCGGAAGTCGCACTTGCCACAACCCCTTGTCCCACTGCACTCATCCCAGGAGGTGCGTCCATTGGTACCAGGCCAAGGGCCTTGTTCATTGCCACGTTTCAGGCTGTTTCGGAAGGCTTCAGCATGGGCATCATGGACATCGATCAGTTTCTGCAGCGGGATCTTCATATCCTTTGCCAAGTCCGTGCCTGAGGCATAGCACTTCATCAGTTTGCGGCTGATGAAGGTTCGGCACTGCCAATGAAGCTCCCGGGTGGCCGCGGTGTTCAAACACAAGCGAAAGGGACCAGAGTTCTTCTGCATCTCCGCAAGGATGTGTTCCTTGATATCAACCGATTTCCTCGTTGCCCAATGTTGCCCAGGTCGACCATGTGGGTAGTTACTTGTTTCACTGTGATCCGAAGACTCTTATTTGACTTCAAGACATCATCCCGTCACCGTTGTAGACGGGTCATCATCCATGAACCACAAGGAATGGAAAAGGATCTGGAGCCAGTAACTCAATATGCAAAATCAAACGATGTCCAAAGCTGTCCACTTCAATTCCACCAAGCCTAAAAGAAACACAGAAACCACTTCCGCAGCCCACTGTGCAGCCAAAGGATCAGTGGGTCCGGACTCATTGCAGAAGCGATTGCCATCTGCATTAAGCAACAAGCCTCCAGCTTGACGGAAGCACTCCCCAGCGAGGACCTGAAATTCACTCGGGCTTCTCTTGGCCCCAAACGAAACAAAAAGAGATAGGGCAGATCGGGGTTCTTTCCACCCATTCCAACATAGTAGTCATATGTAGTCATGGAGAATTATCATCCTAATATTGTTGAAGGTTAGTCATGTTTGAAACCAGCAACCGGAAGAAATGTGCAAAGCTCACAAAACAATGGTACCAGGAAAGTTTTCAAAAAAAAACTGGGATGTCAGACTGTCAAACTGTCAAACCCACCTTGCGCTGAGCATCCGGGTCATCTTCATTCACCAACCTGGAAACTTGTCATGGTTTGCTGATTTCACATTTCGCGGCGCATAGAACACGAATCAATAAGTATCTGCCTTTGGACGAATCCGGTTGGCTTTTGGCGGTTAAAATCAACTGCAAATCAGAAACCCAGTAGGATGTAGGTGCACCCATTCCAAGTCGATCGTTCTGGCACCAGCTTGGGCACCTCAGCCAGGGACCCAATGGGACCCATTCAGTGGCTCTGGATTGTTTATTTTAGGATATTTTAGGGGCATGTGTTCTTAGGTCCGATATCCTCCTTTGATCTCCTTTGTTTGTCTGGGCTAGTGCAACTTAGAAAATGACCCCAGCCCTCAAGCCCCAAAGCCTAAACCTACAACATCCTACAACTATCACCTCCGTGGCAGTCAAGAAACCCAACTTCAAGCCATCCCCAGAGCATTGTTCGCAGTTGGAAGTGGGGCAATGTGCCAAGTCGGGTCGGTGCTTCACCAGCACCGACTCAACGCCACTGCGTCCACCAAAGCCACCTGGTGATGTCCATGGATATTTCTGGATGCTTATGGTCAATTCGCAAAAAAATGGGGGATTAACAAGTAGTAAAAGTAGTGTAAAAGTACGAAGTAGTTGCAAGTTGTGTGAGCACACTTGGATTTCAGGAAGGAATGCAGTGCCCCGTTTTTTTGCTGTCGGGCACAACAGTGGTTCGCCACTTGCAGCTGCAGCTCTCTAAAACTTAAAACTCGTCCTCCTCTTTGGGGGGCTTGGAGCTTCATGGTCAAGGCCACAAGTTTTGGCCAATCAATCAGCAAAGATGGGAACCAAATGCGCCAGCAAGGGTGCGTGATCACTAGCTGCTCCCCAAGCACCCATGCTCACCCTATCAATGGATGCGTGTACCACAGACCTGGGAGCGCTATGGATGCAAGTCGTTGACAGAGTAGCTGGTGTGTTTCCACTGATGGTTTTGACTTGAAAGCATGAGTTCACTCCTGACGTTTCTCAACGCAATTCATTCATCAATGTGGAGCAATACAAATCAGAAGCTCAATCCATGAATCCTCTCATCCTGGCTTTGTCCTTCGCTTGGGTTGCTGCCACTGCCCAGTTGATGCCAGAATGAAGTCCACCCTGCAAAAATTCTGCTGGCATCGAATGCAGTTTTGGCATCGCTATTGGTCACCGACATTCTGTGCATTCTGTGGCTTCTCCAGTGTTGCATCTGGATAGTCTTCCTTTTTGTCTTAAACCTGTGTTTTTGCAGGCTTGATAAATTGCAAAACGAGGTCAGAGTCTGCATGCAGCTGCCTACCTTTCCAAAAAAGACTCTGCGTGTCTCTGCATCTGATTGAAAGATATTGAATGTGTCATTTCAATTCTCTCCGCTTCGAAGCCTGCAGTCCGGATTGTTCGTGTCACTGAAGGATCTTCCTTTGTCCTGCAGCGCGCTTGCCACCATCAACGACAAGCATCAACAAAGCAGAGGACGATCGGTGCCCATGCGCACCTCCTCATGCACGTCGGCAAACACCACTGGAGAGGATCCCTCCCTTCCGGTCAAGTAGCGAATGGCCTCCAACTCGTAGCCCTCAACCAAGTCGAGGTCAGAAGCAGTCCAAACCACCAAGTAGAGGTGAAATGTCCCATTTACAATTCTCAATGTCATAGAATATCTACGCATGTCCACATGTACAGTATATACCTATTTACATAGTTTGCAGTACAGTATACACAAATCACACAAAGGTTGGGTGCATCATCTCCAAGAGCCATTGAAGTCTTCAAGTCACCAGCAATACATCACGAGCTTCACGGGCCTTGCAGAATTGGTTCGTATCACCAACCTCGGTGTCAGGGTCAGTGTCCAAGGATCAAATGGCTGGAAGCATCCACGGCGACAGGTGCATCTGCACAAAGGGCAGTACGAGGACCGTTGGAGGAGAGCCATACCTTTTGACAACGGCTTGAACTGGTGCTGGGCAGCTGTTTTCCAATACAAAACTATATTTCATACAACTGATACAACAGTGACATCTCTTGGATATCCAGGAATAGGGATCAGAGAGATGCTGAGAGATGCAGAGAGATGCTGAGGCAATCTGAGGCATTGGCTTCTCCCTGTCCTTCTGGATCTTTTCTGAAATAATTTTGGCCTTGCATAGCCGGAACAGAACAATGACGCATGCCATGGAACGTCAGTTGCGCACCTGCTTCATCCCGTGGCCGTGCTTCCAATGCGAGTCGTAGAACAGGATGTGATTTCCAGTCCCCTTGTGCTTATAGAGCACCTTGGAGGAAACCATGCTCCAGCGGTCCAGCATGTTTAGGCGTCAGATCCGTCAGGTATGATTTGACTGTGCCAAATTGTTTGGATTTCGACATATTCATATGACATATTATATGACGTTGGAGGATCCTCCCCTTTGGAAAACACCGTCAGTCTTATCAGACTTCAGCTGGCACATTCAACCCTGACTGAGATGCCCGACCATGGACATCCAATAGCCACCAACCAGTTTGGCCCAGTCCTAGTGGACGTCAGGGTCAACAAAGAGACAAAAAGGTTGCATCTCTCAAATCATTTCTCAAATCCATTCAATCATTGATTTGAGTTGCCAATACTAAAAATACTAAAGTCATGAAACCAAGAATCATTCGAACATATTAAAACAGTATTCATAGAATTTCTACCAATATCTGTCCCTGGAGGCCGGCAGGAGATATGGAGAGAATTGGAGAGACATCTGTTCCAAGGCACCGTCTCCACCACTTCCAGGCTCTGGGGCCGGAAAAACTGACCTCGGTGGTGGGTTGGTGGGTTATTGTGCAGATATTGTGCAGATTGTTTACGGAGAAGTGGCGGCAAAGTTGCAGCCAAGTCGCTACCCCCGGCAAATGAAAGTCCAGTCGCTTCTGAAACCAGATTCTGCCGGCCAATCAGGGAGAATGCTCAGCATGCTCTCACAGCAAATTCACAACATTCACTGCACAAGAATCTGTTGCGGAACGGACTGCAACAGTTACAACTCCTGCTCCTGCCTCAACTTCTTGGTATCCCCAACCACCCATTTCCACCTCTTGAGCCTCAAAGAAAGACCAGAGTCAAATTACCTTCCAAAACACTGGATGGGAAAAGGAAGAGACTGGTTTTCATGAGTGGCACGGCTCGTCTCGTCTAGCCATCGACGAATCATTCTGAAAAGGTGATCTATTTAAAAGAAATGTGAAACATATGACATTTACAATGTGCCTTCTCTGCTCTAAATCCCTGCTCACTACAGGAAATCACTTTTCACACTCCATAAACAATATGTGGCATGGTCAAAACCTGATATTTGGTTTATGGTCATCCATTCTATATTGTTACAATGGGTGTATAAATTTGATGACCATTCCCTGTGGGCAATGCACCATAGTTTTGACCATGGCACGTATCAGCCACGTGGGCCACGTCACTGAGGCTGATACGCCCAGAATGTCTGGACCCAAAGCATTGATCTTTCCCAGGACATTCTGCCCCTATAGCAGCAAAAGGAATCACTTATATAAAGCAACCAGCAACAAAATCTATGTATAGTTGCGGACATACATGTAAATAGATATATGTGCGTGTGAACATTATACATAATGCGAGCTTCATGGTGATACAATTTTCCACGCTTCCAGACTCACTGACTCAACAAAAGCCAAAGGGCAAGCAAAGTCAACTTCAAGTAGCAATTCACGAACCATAAACTAAAGAACATTAAAGAACAGTGGCACCCCTGTCACCTTCCATCTGTTCGCATTGAAAGACGACCAGCCCATCAGATTGTAGGACATGACCTCACATCCAACAAGTTGTGGGACCTGTTTCATGGGTGAAATGAATTTCCTCCTTGATCAATCAGGAAACCCATCAACTCAACCAAAGAAGTTTGTAAGGCAAAGAAGTTTGCCACTTCCCGTGATACCATTGCATCTCCATTGAATCTCCATTGAATCTGATGTGCCTCTTTCAGAAATCATGAAAGACTATCAGCAGTTCCTATCCCTACCAGGCCTTGATGTAGATCTGTGGATCACTTTCATTCGCGGCCGGCAAGGCCATGTTGCCGGAGACCTCATGCGCCATCACAAGGGTTGTCTCAAACCTGGGAACCCAAAAACAAAACCTGGAACCGGGAGAATTGCACTACGATGTATCCACCATGTATCCACAACAGCACCAGCAGAAAAAGTGGTTGAATATGGTTGAATCCAACTTTCAGTCACGGTGGCAACAATCCACATCTCCAAGTTTCGCACATCCAACAGAGTCGGCTTAGAGACTTGCAACAGCAAGTGATCCCTGCGCAGGATCCAACTGAGTTCCATTTTTCGAAGTAGAAAAGTAGATCCATGACATCTATGGTTTTCTCAAACGAATAGAGCCTGGATGTCCGAGTTGAGCAGCTTTTGGCCTAAAGACATCACAATGACCAAGTGATTCTGTTGAGCACGTGGCGAAAAGCACCGAAGTCAATCTTGCCTATCAGGCACCTATCAGATCAGGCACCTATCAGGCACCTATCAGGCACCTATCAGGCACCTATCACTTTGTGTTGGTGTAACTTGGGAAAGACAAGTCCTTGGCATTAAACATGTAGAAGGGATCGTTCCTTTCACGTTGAACTTTCTTCATTCTCACTCTTCCCGCCTTGCACGTGTCCTGCTCGGCAACGGCATGAATCAGGCCTTGGATGCAGTGCCAAAATGCTGGTGGCTGGGTGGGTGGGTGGGTGGGTGGATGGATGGATGGATGGATGGACAGACGGATGGACAGACGGATGGATGGATGTCTGGATCCAATGATGACCTTTTTGAGGGGCATCGGATGACTTCGTGTCAGGACATTCAACACCTCGCATGCTCACAGATCATGACCAAGAAATCATGCGCTTTCCACTAGTGGAAACTGGAAACCCCCAGCGGTCAATTGCGGTTCTGCCATTAAGCAAGAAACCCTGGTGATCATCTGATCATCAACTACCTGTAAAGCCATGTTCATCTGCCCAAAAATATGGTGCCATAAGCTTCGAACCCTAACCCATCCCGATATCAACTGACCATGTACCGACTGTTCCATCATGATCATGTTCCATCCATTGGGCTGAGGCACAAAGGCCAATCAGCTGCCAAGCCAACATCATTTTCGTCGCAGGAGTATAACAGATAGGCATGTCATGGCATGTCAAATGTTGGCAATGTTGGCAGGCAAACCCTGTGTGTCTTCCTCTTTGACTTGCCGTTCTATAGCTCTTTGACTACGTCTGAATGTGATTGCAGGTTGACGCGATTTGCCATGTGCTTGGCAAGTGTAGTATCTGATCTTATCACTCGTGAGGCATTTCAATTCGAGACCAAAAAGGCCTGTGCCTTGCCCTGTTGAACTAAGGGTTATGAGCCCAAATTAGCTGGGCGTAGGGATCCGCAATGGCAGCTGAAAGGAGAGCATCTTCATTGCCCCCTGCAAATCCTTTTTGGAGCGATAGAACCCAAGCTGATCATGAGTTGGAACAAATGAGGCCAGTGAATTTAGAAAGCTGGGAGGCTCCTGTACCCCATGATGATGATGACTTAGATCAATCCCCACGTGTTCCCTTGCCAAGCGGTGTGTCGGGACATGATCGGGAACATGGGCTGCAGTTTCAGACTCCTGGTGATGCGAAACCAGCTGCTCTGACTTTGGATAGCGAGAAGCCTTGCGTTGAAGAACCAGAGAAGTTGGAGACGGAGGTGACCTATGAGCCTCTGCAGCATGATCAAGCGACTGGGAAGCGTCCTGAGAGGGTGTGGAATAGAAGGGGACAGTGTGATGAAAAAATGTCTTCAAAAGCTGTACCAAGTTGTGATGAAAATGAAAAGAAAGAGAGTGGACTGGAGAAAGATTTGGGGGATCAAGTTTTGCAGCACTTTCAGCAAGAGACGGTGAGACTCCAGAGCCAGAATGACTCCTTGATCAAGGAAATTCAGAGACTCAAGGAGGAGAAACAGCGTAGTGAACTGAATGTTCCATCGTCCTGGAATGCAAGTGCTAGGCAACCAACACCTCCACCTCGAAAGTCCCCACAGACTCGAGAATCTCAACATGTTTGGATGTCACCAGACACTTTCAGATGTACTCCAAATGGTACACGTATCCCTTCTGGACCTCCTCCACCATCGCCACCACCTTTGCTCGCTTGGCCAGTTGACTTGCAGGGCTATGAAACCTGTTTGGAGCCGCCAAGGAAGCTTCGTGGGGTGATGGGTGATGTCCAGTACAAGATTGGAGGAGGCGTCATCACGCCACGGGAGGCCAGAACCATGTGGCTTGAGAGAGAAGTGGAGTCTTTGAAAGAACGTTTGGAAAGAGAAGCCATCAAGAACAAGTCAACGTTTACCTCAGGGTATTGGAATGTTCCTTTTGTGACTGAAGCCACTAGGGACAGAGAAACCAGTGAAGCAGTGGCATACATGAAAAGAAATGCTGGCGTTGTGACACCTGATTTGCCTATCTCATCACATACATGTCCACATTCGTCACAACCTGGTCATGTTGATTTCATGCGAGCGTTTGATGACGCTCATCAACCTGGTGGGGGGAGTGCAGTGCTTGGAGAACATGCTCATCTTGATCGGGCTAGCTTTCAGCAAGGGTTTGATGCCAATTCACGTCATGATCGGGCTTCCTTTGCACATGAGCATGGTAAAGTATGTCCTCCCAGTCGGGTTAGCATGTCGCATGAGCATGGTGATGTATATCAACATGATCGGGCTAGCACGTGGCGTGAGCATGGAGATTTATGCCACCAAGGTCGGGCTAGCATTTTGCATGAGCATGGAGATTTATGTCATCAAGGTCGGGCTGGCATCATGCATGGCGGTTTACGTCTTCACGATCGGGCTGGCATAGCGCGAGAATCAGAATGCCATCACGGTCGGGCTGATAGCACTGCATTGCATGAGCTTGGTGAAGTATGTCAACATGGAAGTGCTGGTGGCCGAAGTCACACAGTGGAAGGAGCCTCGAGTCATCAACGAGGTCTGAGATGTGATCGTGACGTGGTAGAAGATGGAGATCTGAAGGCAATACCCATTCAGTTGCCTCAGCTACCCTCTCCTGAGGGACGTGATGCAAGCTTGGAGGCTGGAGATTGGATCATTCAACTTGAACCTCTTGTGGGTGATTTGTCAAAGAATGCCACGGCTTGGTGGAGGCGTGTGATGGCAGCCACCACCGAAAAGTACTCCCTTTGGCTGTACTCTGATCCACTCTCTCGCCTGAAGATCACTGCGCCTGAGACCTCTGCACTTTCAGCTGGGTATGAGCGCTTGGATCAGCGGGTCACAAGCCTTCTTTTGCAAGCAGTTCCCAAGGCCATCAAGGATGAGGTTGTGGCTGCACGGGAGCTGACTACTGCTGGAATTTTGTTCCGCATCCTACGCACATTTCAACCTGGTGGACTCGCAGAAAAGAGCCGACTGTTGGAGGATCTCACAACGGTGCCAACTACAAAGACTGCTCAGGAGTCAGTGGCTGCACTACGGCTTTGGAAGCGAAAGGCAAGTCGAGCTGCAGAACTTTGTGCGCAGTTGCCGGATCCATTGTTGATGATCCGAACACTGGATGGCATCTCCAAACCAGTCGTTGATGGTTCTGCACAAGCGAGCTTCAGGATTGCAACTTTCCGCATGAAGCAAAACCTGGATGTTCAGCCATCACTGCAAAATCTGTGGCTGTTCTACGACTTGCTGCTGGCAGAAGCTGAGGTTGCAGTTCACTCCACGACTTGTGCTAGTACGACCCCTGAACCACGAACTCCAACAAAGCCTGCAGTGAAAGCGATGCAAACTACTCCATCTGCCGGGGGAAAATCCACATCATCTTCCTCAACAAGCTCTTGGCCATGCAAATTTTGGATGTCAGAAGGTGGTTGCCGTCAAGGGCAACGTTGTCGATGGCCGCATCCCTGGGAGTCTGGTGTTGAGAAGACTGGCCGATGTTGGAATTGCAGCTCAACTCAACATCTACAACCAGAGTGCCCTTACAAGACACAGGTGAAGCC